ATCTCTCTCCCCGTGGCCGTCTTTTGCTCGTTTCTTTATGTTTCCTATTCCGTCACTTTATTGTGCCGTATTTTCTCCTTCCTCTCTAATGTCACAACTGGCAAATTAGACCTCAGTAACTTATTACAACGTCTTTCTCCTGTCTTATAGCCGAAGACCGTCCAGTCTGCTTTTATTTTATACTCTGGATTATTGCAGCTGTTACGCACACAGGCAGACTTGGGAGATGCACACAGTCGATCGCGTAATGAAAAAAAAAAAAAAAAGGTTTTATTCATGTCAAGACTTGAGCATTTGTTCTCCGACCAGGCGACAAAAGCTGGGCTTGACTATTAAGTCAATTTACTGGTACACAACAGTATCCAGACTTTTAATGACTATCTAAACAAAAACTCCCTGACACTAATTCACTGCTGACTCCCAGGCTATGTTTTGCACCATTGCCTAAGCATCTATGCCCATGTCTTCCTCATTGATTGACTGATTTATTTCACCACTCATGCTTGAAATAGAATTCAATCCTTCATCAACGCCGAAGATTGGGAACTCACTGGACGCACTGGCTTTGTTTTCTTCTCGGTTCGTGTGTGTGTGTGTGTTCGGTCAAGTTAGTCCAGTTGAGTCTATTCTTATTTGTATAGTCCAATTCACAAAATACACTTTGCCCTAAAGAAAGTTGTTTTTTTATGCAGTCTGGAAACTCCATTTTAACATATTGTAAAGAAAACTTTGGCAGATTCAGACTCAGAACATGCAGCTGTCGGCCGCCGCTCCGGACAGAGGGTCAAAGGGAATGTTGGGTGAGACAGCACAGGTGGGAGAAAAGAGCAGTAGGAAAAGGGTGAGACCAGGAGCAGATATACGACACAATGCAATAATATATTATGCAAGCAATACAGAAGTAATTGCAAAGGTTATAAGAAGCATCTGATGCAGAATTGTTATTGTGGTAAATTAGATTTCTCTCTCTCTCTCTCTCTCTCTCTCCCTCTCTCCCTCTCTCTGTATGTGCATGTTCCACCATGCATTTGTAAGGGTCGACTGACTGCAGCTCTAACTTAACTCCAAAAAGAAAGACAAAGTATGCTTCTGGCTTTCTCATACATTTCGCCCTGTCTTTCCACACATCCCTCCCACTCCCTTTCTTCCACTGCTCCAATGCAATCGCTCATCCTCTTAAGGGAGCACAGGAGCATGCAGTGGAAATAACTGAGCCAATAAAGACACTGCCAGGATCCATCCACTCCCTGCCCCTCACAAAGGTACTGAGGAAATGAATAAGTAGCAATAGATCTGAAGAGGGCAAGCGTGGAAAAAGAGAGAAAATTCTACTATTAATACGTCTGCGGTTGTGGGTAGGAGAGGTGAATGAGTGAAGAATGCGTGAGTGTGTGGACGAGGACGACGTGGAATGATGATAAAGTGCCCCAGACACTGAAGTAGAGTTTATGTTGGGAACATACTGTATGATTGATGCACCCTTCTACACCTTGATGCCACCGTCCACCAGTTACATGTGATGTGGCTGCTTTGTTTTTCTTTTCACAACAAGTTCAGCTACAGTACTGAGATAGTAGTATCCCCCCGCAAGTACTTATCAAGCTTTTCAGCCTAATTTCAAGTAGAGAAGCTAGCGGAGTTCAAACAGAGAGGAGGAAGTGTTGCTCTGCTAGCACTGGGCAGATAATAAGGGCAGGAAGAGCCGAGCTGTAGCCGAACAGAGGGTGAAGCAAAATGTTCTGCTCCTGACAGAATAAAGCTGGTAAGAGCGAGGCCTCGCGTCTCGTAAATCATGGAATGTATTCAGACCACCATACGATGCCGCTTGACTAGCTCATTGATCCTCCTTTTCATAGATGCTCCCCTGCTGTGAACTGGAACACAGCCAAACCCACCCACTGTGCACAATATGTGTGATTATAATTGATTACACCATCCCATTCACACCCTCACATATGCAGTGAGTGTTTATGCATGCACCAGAGATGACTGGTAAAAGTTAGACCCCTCTAACCAGGTCAAATTCTGGAGCTCGAGGCTTTCTTTGACTCCTTGTTCAACAATCCCAAAGGTGATCTGATATGTGACCCGGTGTTGTCACGTCAAGATTCTGCATTTCATGATGGCGTTTAGCGTAAAAAATCCTTCACAGCAATCAATTCCTCTGAATGCAATTTGTTTATACGATAAGGCACTTATGATGGCATCTCTCCGGGTTGTCATTACAACTTAGTTCCACCAGGCTTGGATATGAATGGCTGGTGCGCATGTGAACTGGAGCATTTACATCAATTCTCATTGAGACTGTGGTCGCATGAAACTGTGTGGCCTGATTTCCTGGCTGGCACAGAGGAGCTGTGAAGAACTGGAAGAGAAGACAAATCTGTTACCCGCACGTAGCTCCAGGGAGTCCACTGGAACAGCATCCTTTCATGTATAATAGAGCGACTCTCAAAATAATGTATCTTTCTTGTCAGTGCTTTCACACACTCGCACGCAGACGTTCTGTTTTTTCTTCTAAAGGGGCGTGTTGAGTGATTGTTATTCGCGTTTTTGTACAGTGGGAAACGCCGTTGACATTTTCACCGACGGCGACTGTAAAGTTTATCGTTCCATTTGTGCCTGATGATGCATTTGAGGCGCCTGATTTGTCAAACTTGAGAGATAGTACATTAACATATTCACAGCGGAATTCGTGAATCAATATTTGTCCAACAGTCAGGCTAAAAAGAATACAGCTCAGCTCACGGGCCAATCATAGCACAGGTCTAATGTGACCCACAACTTTCTTCCTAAAATAATTATTTATGTTTTATTTATAGTACAGATAATTAATGATCTGTTACAAAGTGTAATTAATAAACTATTCAAGTCCGGGTCGCAATTTCTCCCGAGTTTTCCACAAGCGCCAGCTGTCAGCGAAACAGCTTATGTCGAAGACAGGCCAGATTCTTCATGCGTTTTATTTGGGACACGACACAGTGGCATTTGTTTGGGTTTTTTTAAGTAATAATTTATGGTGTTTTTAAAAGTTCAGATTAGTGTCTCTTCTCTATGTGCTCACAGATTAACAGGCCAGTATTGGTGCTTTTTAGTATATACAGAAACACTTTTGAGGTCCCATTTTACAGAGTCCTATGAATGCCTTGGTCCATGTTGTGTCATGTCACGAATTGTTTGAAAAATACATTCTTATATCTCTTTTTTTATTAATAACATATTTCACAAACAACACTTTCTATGTTCTTACAGTCATACGGCCAGAAAAACAGCTGTTGCGTCAATGTGCTTCGGTAGATCAGCTCACAAATTAATGAGATTTGAAGAATAACATTCACTACTGAAAAGGAAAAAAAAAACAGACAAATACAATAACAGGAAAAGGTCACATTGGTCAAGGAGAGCGATGTTTTGATTCAAGAATTCAAGGATTTTTATTGTCAGTCCTCGCATGAAAAAACACGGCCTAACAGAAATGACAAACAGTGGTGAAACAGTTCAATAAGAGAGTAATAAATATAGAATGTAAACAAGTAGAGAAGTACTTTAAAAAGAAGCAACTATGTGTGGATTGTGTGGTTCAGAAAAATGTCCAGGTTGAATGGAAACGCGTCCATGTGTAAGAATCAGTTGTGTTTTTGACCAGAAACATGGTGCTGTCATGCTCCACCAGAGCCCAGCAGTCTCACAGACTCTATGAAGAAACTCTGGTGGTTCCAGCCTGATGCTCTGCAGCCTTTTATTTGATCGAATTACTGAACCCAAGTCTGATTTTTAATTCGAACCTAAAATGATCAAAGCTCTGAAGCAGGTTCTGATCAAGCTCCATCTGTTTTATTTTCCCTTGAAGAAGAAAAACTTGATTTCAGGAATTCTCAACTTCATGACACACTCAATGCAACATGGTTACTTCTGTGCAGGATAAATCTACAACAACACCTTTAAACCTCACCATGTCTACACCTTTGTCTAACAGAAACACCACAGTAACCGGTTTAAGGTAAATGGTCAAAGGTTCTGACCTTTTCTTTATTTACTTACAGTAATGTCAATAGAAGTGACTGCCTTTTTATAAACATGTGTATACAGTATAGAGTGTACACTCCTGTAGCACTGAAGCCACAGAGTTACACAGTATCTATCTATCGATCTGTCTATCCATATCTAAAAATATATTCAGCTGATAAACACAGTCTAAAGGGTGTCGGTATCCTGAGTAGATCCCAGAGAAAGAGTGGTAAATTCAAGTCATCTGTCACTAAATACATGGATCTCTCTATACCTAAAGCTCAATCACAAGCTTAAAATGAACTGGTGCACTCTGACAAAAAACTACTAGTTCAAAGGCTGCAGCACAAAATGGATTGTAAAATGCACATTTTATTCAAATTTAAAGTCTGCATTTGTGAATACAAGTCAAATGTCAGTGAGCCTTTACCAAACAGCAAAAATTTAAATCGCATTAGCTTCCACTTCACACTGTTTTACTTTTAGTCCTCTAATTTATTCCATGCTATTTTGCTGGCGAGTAGTCAGAAGTGAATATTTACATATAAAGTATTATGTAAAATATGGCGCGTACACACACGTACACATGCAAATTGGCTGGGGTCACAGAGGTCGCATAGAGATCGGCGTGAAATTAGGAGGTTGTCGACAGGACAGCTGCAGAGGTCACTGACACCGTGTGGGCATTTCCTACATTTCTTTTTTTACTTGAAGCGTCCTTGTTGAGATGTAGCGGGTTGTTGTCGCACCTGTCTTCTTTTTATTATTCTCCTCTCTCGTCTGTCCAACAGGTGGGGGTCCAGGTCAACGAGAGAGTGAAAGATTACCCACTCAGCCGATGTTCTGACATGTGATGTGAGATGTGAAGACCCCGCGGCCCACGGCAGCCCACGGCGGCTCAAGCCTGCGTAAATCAAATCAAATTGATATTTATTTCCCTGCTAAACTATTTACTTACTGACAATAAAGGTGAAATTTATGCAGCCATTAAGACAAACATTTCTGAACGGTCAGGGACTGCAGCCGGGGCCATTTTATGGATCAGAAGCAATAAAAGCCAGTGCTCAAACAATATGGAAGCTGCAGACCTGGACTTCAATCACAAGGTAAGTATGATAAGTTACTTCATTAATTTTAATGGAGTAAATTCTTCTTCATAATGCAGCAAGGCCGGAATAATTTGTAGTAGGAGTGCTCGTGCAAAGCCATCTACCTTTGGTTGTTTATTCATCTTCTACTGCTTAATCCTTTCCAAGGTTGAGGCTGTGAGAGGGGGTGAGGGGAGGGGGTGAGGGGAGCAATCAGGGGGCGAATGGCAAATACCCATGGTGAATATAGAGTGAAGAACAAACTTGTCAATCATACAAATAAACTTGGAAGATCATCTTTTGCCGAAGGTGCTCGATTGGGACGCCGTAAAGCAGGAGCACCAACCGCTCCCCCACTGTGCGTCCTCTCCTACCAGTCTCCTATCAGGAGACTGTAGTTTAAAACAATATAGAAGTGAGAGCAGAGGCAGAAGGTGATGGTGGTTGAGCAGGAGATAAGGACCCAGATAAGTTTCGTGGAAAGATTACAAAGAACTGCTGGGGTTTATTTTCTGAACACTGGTGGTTTCACTGAGGGATCTCCCAGAGGTAGGAGGTGAGGGGGGAGGGGGGGGGGTCATACAGAAAAGATAGGGAGAGAAAACAGACATGGAGGAGATAGAGACAAAAAAAGTAATGAGAAACTGAGAAGGAGAGAGGAACCAAGAGAAAGCAAAGAGTAGGTGAAGGAGGGACATTTGGGAATTGGCTTGTGTAGAGAGAGAGAAAAAGAGAGGGAGGGAGAGGGAGAGTTAGGGAGTGAGAGAGGGGAGGGGAAAAGTTGGACACGGACAATCTCCAACAAACTTTTTTTCCTTCTTCTTTTCTTCCACCGTGGAAGAAGTGTTGAGAAGAAAAACAAGTCAAAGGGCTGAGAAAGAGCACACTGGATTTTAATTGCGTTCTTATCACCGGACAAATTCTCCTGTTCAGTGTCTGGATACACACAAACACCTTCTGCACGGATTAATGTGGACGCATGTTTGTGGAGTTGTCAATAGTTAAAGGTACGTTTTTATGGACTTCTGTGGTCGGTGTTAGACGAATAAAAGTGAAAGAGTGCATGAAGTTTCTGGACTGAAACTTAGTGGTGGAAGTTTCTGCAGGAGGTTTATATTTCAATTCCGGGCGTCTATAGAATCTAGAGGAATACATGTATTATTTCAACACTGAATGAAGCAAAAGTCGCTGCAAGTTCATTACTGAACACAAACTCTGATCCGCTGGGATGATTGTTGTAATGAAGGAAATGAAGTTTGACACACTCACGTAATGTGACATCATTTGAGTTGTTACATAGTGAATGTAAAATGTATATTCTATTAACATGCTGTCAGATTACAGGAAAAAAAGAGAGTATATTTATAGTAGTTAAAGTACCTTTGTAGTATAGGTGCAGTTCTAGGCAGGAGTGATGCTGATTTTCCTGAGCCTGGGCCAGGATTTAATGTATCACTAATGTGGTTGAGTCTCTACTTGTACTCAGTGCGGTTTTTATTTTATTCCATTGACATGCAAAAGTCCTAACCTCACCCCCTTCCCCCTCCCGCACCCCATGACCCCAGTCCCACACACCAGACGCACACTCCCCTCCAGGGCTGTAGTTTCTTTTTTATGGTATAACTGATACCTTATAATTATAATTAACAGAAGTCACATCTGAGTAACACAGGTCTGAGATCAGTTTCCACCAACCTGGATAATCCTTTTTTTTTTACATAGGACAGAGAGGAATGTGTTAAAGAGGAAGTTTGGATGGCCCTATAGACACATCTGCTTTCCTCATTATTCAGCCATCTCATGTTTGCTGGCTTTTGCATGCTGTCCACAGCACTCTCTCTCCCCCTCCACCACAAACAAGAACCAGTACTTTATCTGTTTTGTTTTGCTTTGCTTTGCACACTTCCATACAGATTTAAATACAGGTTAATGCTGCAAAAAATGACTTTTATAAAACCAATCCTCCCGTACTGCTCATTTCAGGAGCATTTTCTCCTTTTAGCCATAATGTGCAAAAAGAAACAGCAGCCCTGACTTTAAATAAACATAATGTTTCTGGTGTATCTGCAGATGTGATGTGTACATTCTTGCTCCTAGTCTCGGGCTGTTGTTGGGCCTGCAGCCAATTGTGTCCTCAGTGCGCTTGAAGAAAGTTATGTCTTCCATTTGACTTTAAGCTTGTTTTTATTTTGCTTTAGTTGTGAAGTGAGTACAGGGCTATCAGTAATATAGAGCCAAGCTGAAGGAAAGCAGCAGGTCATTTGCCTGCAGAAGACTGACATGACTATGCATAGCACAGCCCGCAGCCAACTAGCTCACATCTTCACCGTGGAATACATTTCACATAATTTCTGTGCATCAGTGCAACAAAAATGTTAGCTGGAGTTTTTCCTGTCATTTCTCTCACAAATAGCCCTAGTAATAGTCTTAATGCCGCCCTCACCCAGGACAATTGACGCCCTAATAAATCAAATTTAATTGAAATTTATTTATTATAATTTATTTTATTTTATGCAGTGTTTCTTTAGCTTGTAGCTAAGGGAGCTGCCTAAAATGAATGCAGATGTGTGTTTTGTCAACATTCAGTCTCTGCTGGCCAGTCTGAAATGTCCATATGTATAAATGCAATGTCTGGCCATTTGGTCCCCCTTTTAGTGCATGTGTGATCTTTCTTTAGACCAGTGGTTCGGGGGGGGGGGGGGTTGTTCAAAGATAGCACAAAGGTATTGCCATTGGGGGCAAGGCAAAGCAAACAAACTCAGTTTCCATATTTTTTATACTTATACTTTATCAGTAGCTGAGTAGGAAAAATTACTTTTGTTTGAATTTATTGACTCAAGGTGGATGTCAGTCTGGGTGGAAATACAGTGTGTGTTTTTTAAAGTTCATTAGAGTTCAGAGTTTTGAAGTAACAGCTGTGAAATGAGGAGGCTGACTGGGCTCAGGGACTCAAACACGGCTGGGAGTAAACAGTGTTTAATAATGTGGGAGATGATCAAAAGTAAAAAGTTCTCTAAATAACAGTCAGCAGATCAGACAGTGGTCGAAGCAAGGCTGAAGTACAAAAGGGTTATGACCACGTGGAGATCACTGGGAAAATAACATTTAGTACTGAGAAGCTGATTTAGCAAAGCAGAGCAAAAAATCTGGCAACCCAGGGGGGGTTCCTGAAGGGAAGCAAAACCACACAGGTGGAGGTAATTAGCTGGCCACACTGGAGAGAGACACAGCAGGCATGGAGGCAACAGGTAGAAAGTGAATAACCTGAATTAAATAGAAACACGATAAAACACATACTAAACTGAAAATATTAGGAGCTAAAGATACACCTGAACATGGGGCGGGGCTTCACAGGGCTGGTGCAGAAAAGTTTGTGAACCACAGCTTTAGCTCAAACACTGCATTGAGACTTCACTACTAGTCGAATTGTTCTGTCTGTTTTTAGCAATCACATCACTGTAATTTGTACTGTATCTGTGGTTTGTCTGTTAATGTAAGCATTTGCTTTGCATTTCACTGGTATTACTGTTTTAGGTGCACTGTTTTAGTCATTTTGATATGCTAAGGTGGTCAAGCAGTGGATGGTTTGTGGCCTTGCAACAACAAATGTCATGCTTCATTGCAAAACAGCATAAAAAGCAAAAAACAAACAAATGCAATCAGTGTTTATTTAACAGAAATTCAACATGGGTTTGGGTTTAAAGTTGCACAACATTTATGTTTGATATTTTGCCTGCTTGTTTGTCTGGAAAGCTGTTAATTTGTTTAACTGACCACAGTGTGACTACTGTGGGCAACAAGAAACCAATGGAGACAGGAAGTTTGTAATAGAATGCCAGCCTACTGTATCTTCCTGTTCACTTATTATGCCAGTACATGTAGGTTAGTGATGAATTTGCTATGAAAGGAAGCTCTCTGAGTATTTGTTGATGGTGTGGACCACTGAGGATGTTTTCCTGGCCTAGTAAAGACATCATATTTAGATGGAATGTGGGTTACATTGTAGAGTAGAGTGAGCTGTCAGTCAATCTCTGTGCTGGATAAGACTGCAAGAAAAGGGAACCACCAAACATTACAGTGTGTATAGCTCAGCTCGGTTGTACCTAAAACTCACTACACTGTGGGTCGAGTCAACACTGTTGAATGCTATGTAATTATCAGTGGCTCAAAAGCATTTATTTTATCAAATGAAATGACATGTTCCATTCAAATTTGTTATTGTCTCTTTCCTCACACACTTATGTCGGTGTTGTTCACTAAGCAGTGGCAATAATGATGAAATGGGTAACAACAAAAATTGCAAATCCCTCAGCAGAAATGTTCTCTATTATTCAGGACAATATCAGTGCCAATGTTGTTGCCGCATTCTCGCTGTAAAAGGGCTGGAACTAATAGTCGCTGTGGAAAATGTAACTAGGAAATAGGCAAAAACACCTGGGAAGAGGAATGACTTTTGGAAGAGCGCTTTATCTCAAACTGCAGCACGCTAGAAAATGGAGTGCATATTATCATGGATGATGTGGGTTACCACCTTTGTCAGGCTTTCTGTGCTGTGAAACATTCAAATCCATCATTGTTTTCCTTCCTGTTTTGGCACTGAACCGGGCGGCCTGATCGGTCTGCTTTGGAAGGCTAACTGCCAGAACGTTGGTTAAGTCCGGTGTCCAATATGGTCTTGTTTTTATCTGCTGTAGTCAGCTGGGTGGTCACTTAGCTGTGGACGGAGAGGAAAAGAAAAGAAGGTGAGACGTCTGCAGCAAGTCATAATAGGAAGCAAATTAAATTTCTTTGGGTTTTTTTTCCAGATAATACAATTCTGCATTTTTGCCTGTTATCACTGGGCTGTGATACATAAAAAGACACCTGATGAGAGGATGAAAGGATATTTTTTCAAGTAAAAGCAACAACACCATTAGTGAGTACTTTTAAGGAAGCTGCTGACTCACGCTTCTGTTGCCAGTCAATCCCAAGCCCATGATTTCCCTCAGCACATTGTTTTGGAACAACACACCGCAGGCAGTCGGGTTTAGTGTAGTATTCACACCGTGTCCTCCACTGGGAAGGAGCGCCACATTGTGAACCCCCAGGGGAACGTAGGGATCGCTCCTCCTGAAAGACGAGACAGGTGTGTGTGCAGATACGCAGTCTGCTCGCCTGTATGCTCGCCCAGGGGGGGCTATGCTATAACTGCAGACTTATGGGGTCCTCACACATGCTGAGGGGCAAGTCCAGGTCACGTGGGATGAGTTCTTGCAAGTCGGTGTGGGTGGTGCGTTCGCAGATGCATTCTTATGTTTGTGTATATGAATAAGGGGTTGCAGTAAAGCTGAGGTACTGTGGAGACTGGATATAATAGTTATTCTGATGTGGCAAGCTTTTCGATTGTGTTTGAACGTCCCTCCCTTTGCACACACACACAGAGTGTGTGCGTGTGCATGTGTGCGCCTGTTGTTAGGCCACGTGGAAGCATCTGGTGCAACATAGCTGTAGCTCTAATGGAATCATCCCCAGATGTGTTTGTGTTTTGCCCCCACTGTCTGTCTCTAGACTAACAAGTCTGCATGTGAATCACTTCACTTTCATATGCAGGCAGTGTTTCTGCAGCAGATTTTAACAGCAGGTATTGTTTGGTATCTCTCCTAGATGTTGGCTGTTTGTGTGTTTGTGTGCGTGTGTAATAAAGTGTCCTGTGCACTGAGCATTATCCAAGTCAAACGCCACGCAGATGGATCATGATGACTGTGATTAAACCTTATAGAGTTACACTCACTAACGAAGGCCATTCCAGGGTTAATTTGTATGCAGCTAACAGAGTCCATCTCACGCCACATAATTAACAGCTATGAGTGACTGATAAATATACATCAATGTCTGATTAGCAATCAAGTTCAATCTCCTGCTGTTGTTCGGGTAAAGAGTGGAGCATCATGCGGGCAGAGTACAAATAGTACTTGATGTTTGTTAACTTTTTTTTTCTTTTTCTGTTTGCTACTCTGTCAGCTGGTGTCTGAGGTGAGGTCTTCACAGAGGAGTGGAACCATGTGGCTTCTATTCTCCTCTCTGACTCTGCTGGCGATCGGCTTCGGAACATGTGATGAGGCGGTGCCTGAGCCAGGTGAGTTCAGGATCAGAAGAATGTGGTTGTCAGCAGCAGCAGTGAGGTTATTTTGCTTAAAATAAGTTCACAGTATGCTGAAGTTTAATAATTGTTGCTTTTTTTGAGGTTTGTGAGCTCACCTCACTATTTGCCTCAGCACGACCAATTGGATAAAATGTTGCCAAAAACAGTTAATCTAAAGCAAATATTTACTTATATATATTTTTTGACAGAAAAGAAAACAAATGCATTTTGCATTTTTTAAATTAAAAGTTACTGCAGTGTTTCTCAAAGTGTGGGGCAGGCCCCACTTTTGTCACAACTGTATTTTTATTTCTTCTTTTTCAACTTTGTGCTATCTGATGTTATTGATTCATTATAAAATACTGTATGATGTTGTGTTTGTTTATTATATTTGAAATGTGTCAAGATTTTTGTTGGGGCATGTGGGGCCTTTGAGAACCACTGGGTTAATGTGACCTTTTCAACAGATTGCAGTTGTTTAAATCACTTACTAAACTGAATGTCTGTGTTCAGCTGTATGTTCAGCCCAATGTTACATTAGACCATAATTACAGTTTACACAGTTGCCACCGGTGGCTGTGTGGCTAGGCTGTGGCAAGAAGGCGTGTGTGTTTACTGTGTGTGGTTGGGTTCCTCTTCAACAGACATCAATTATCCAGTCATATGTGAAATGTATAGGAGGCCGTCTGCAGACTGGTGGCATCGCCTTTGGTTGTTGTTTTGGTAAAGAATGCATACAGGTTGTGGCTATGTGTGTTAGAAAAACAGATGTCCAGGAAATAGAGAGGCAGCAGCTTAAAGGGCTCTTCTTCCTTTTGCTCCTTTTTGTTGTTTTGTCATTACTCCCACAGTCCCAGCGTCAGTGTGTTCTCCAGGGTCTGTGCAATATCAATTAGGGCCCAACAATCTGCCGTTGAGATTGTTGGGAGAGCGATGTCAGAGAAGGGGGGGGGGGGGTCTCTCCTGGGACCCCTTTTCAAAGCTCTGCAGATGAGGCTGAGTCTTCTGAGTCTTCTGCCCCAGCGGGTGGAAAAGAGTGTTTTCTCTAATGCGGCTAAAATACTGTTTTTGTGTGTGTGTGTGTGTGTGTTTTCACACAGGAAACACACACACTCACACATGCTCCATCACACTGTATCTATTTCTCCGACTCATCCAAATCTGTACTTACTGGTAATTTGCTGACATTACAGCAGGAAAGCAGGTTGAAGTGAAACTGGTGTAGTGGAGTCAAGCTGGATGATTACGCTGCACTTCTGCAGCGCATCTGCCGGAGACTAAAAAATAAGTCAAATGAAATGGCTGAAATGCCTTGCTTTTAGCAAAGCATTGCTGATGTCAGTGTCAGTGCACTACAGACCACACCATGGATTTATGTATTGGTGCGTTTGATTTCCTGCTTTCCTTCATCTACAGCTAAACTAAGTTGTTTGTGAAGGGCTACAGCAAGAAGACACTTATCAGCATATGAAAGGTGAGAGGGTCCGTCCAAAATATTTCAGACCCATCATCAGTTATCACTTCATGTTTTATTAAATATAGAACGGCAAGCGGTAATCTGCTGAAATATGCCCTTTATTTTTAAAGAGCCATACTAGCATTTTAGCCAGTGGGGCAATAATCATTCTTCTCTGTGGGAATAAAAGGTTCGATTACGTTGCATTGATAGTGTGTTTCTCTGCACGAGCCACGGATAATATATGCTTTTATTATTGTTATTATTACATTACACATTGTTAATACCAGGGTTGGAGAATGCACACTTCAGTGACTAACAGGCAGTAATTATGAAATCCCAATTGCAAAAACAGAGGGCTAATTTCCTCAGAAGTATAAAAGGCTAAACAAAGTCTAATATTACATGTAGTATCAGGACAAAAACATTACATTTTTGGGACGATGCATAGAGAAATATTCAAGTAAATTACAACTTCAGATCTCAGTGTGGATGTAACCACACAAACATTGCTTAAAATGTAATTAACTTTTAGAATAAGTATCTAAGGATGATTTGCGAACCTGTACTTTAGCCACACAATTGAGCCGTGGAATGAAGCAGTCGGTTCTGTGTTTTTTCAATGTTTTTTTTATTCAGAATGATAGAAAATACAAAGTTCTATAAACTCTCTTTATAGATCTGGTTTGGCAAAAATGCACCCATTGAACTTTGGATATTTAATCTTGTTGCTCATTATATTTGCAGAATGTTGTATCTCAATGCTGGAGTGCAATATGAAAGTCCTGTGGGCACCATCAGGGCAGAACATGGTGTTTTGCTCTTATTTGGAAGTTTTCAGCATCACTGATAAGGAATGATTTCCAGTCAGACAGTTAAACTTCAATCACTCCAATGTTACTGCTTCATGAACAAACCTGTCCTACCTCTGCCTTTGCTTTCCACAGGAAAAAAAAAGGAAGCTCGGTCTGACCTACTTGCAGAAACATTTGCTTGTTATTAAAGAATGCAGTGTCAAGTCCGATCTCAACCCCGGTGCATTCAGCGTAGGTGTTTATTTTAGATGCCTGTGCACGTTCAACAGATGGTCAAACTAACTCCCACTGACCACGTCTGTGTGCAGAGTTTGCAACAAAGAGGAATTAGGTCAAACCTTGGAATCTCTGAAGAGAAGAGTGCTTTTTTACGTCCTTTGTAACTGTTCATGACATGAACACAGTCAGCGTCTGTGTGTGTGTGTGTGTGTGTGTGTGTCTGTCAGAAGCCTATGAGGGGAAAATGAGACAATCTGTCTCCAAAGTAGGGTATTTTAAGTCTTTCCATGTTTCTGTACAGCAGTTTAATCGCTGGAAAACATCCAGGAATGTTCTCTGTTCCCCCTTCTTTCATGGCGAGGGCAAGCGAGACACAAAGCGGAGAAGTTAATTCCTCCTTGTTTTAGTGTATTGCCTATTCCTGGCAGTAAATAGTCTGAGACAGTGGGGGTCACCAGGGTGCGCTAGGCCCTCAGAACATTGGTGGAAAGAAGTAAATAAAATGCAAAAAATATATGTATAAATATCTATATTACCTTTAGCATTGTCGAATTATCACGTTTCCAATGACACCTGAAAGCACCTTGTGTGACAGCTGCAACTTTGGTGTGAGTGAATAGTCAATATAACCAAGAAAATGCCTTGTAAAAGTTGATGACTCTTTAGAAATTCTGAACCATTGTCTGTTTGTCTGCAGCCAGAGGCTTTTGGTGTTTGTTGGCCCTTGGCATGGAAAGGTTTGGGACCCCTGGACCCTAAGATAGTTGTAAAATAGACTTGGAATGGTTGTTTGATTTTGAGATGTAAATTGTTTTGTCACCACTGCATTTACATGTTCCTCTAAAAGACACTCGATTTGCTAGTATGCTAGTATTTGCATGTTGTAATAATGTGCGATTACTCCTGTTACATCCCACAGGAATCGTGTCCTGATTCACCCTTAAACCGCATCTAGAATTAGCTGTGCTAACTATAGCACTGTTGAAATCATAATGGTTAAATGTATGAAAGCACGGTTCTACTTTCCTCCTTGCTTTTGTATTTAAGAGCCAAGTGTCATTCTAAATTACACTGTGTCTGTGGTGAGGCAATAAACGGAATAGGATGACTGAGTAACATCATGATGCTGCTGCTGCTGCTGCTGGAGGAGGAGGTGTTTATTGTGTACTGTTATTACCGCAAATGTAAAAGGAAAAAGCAATGACTGAAATAAAAGGACGATCAGATTCAGAGGTTAAAAGGTTTCGACAGCAGTTGTTCTCAAACTTTTAACACTGCACCAACTCCAGAACTTTTGACTGTTGTACTTCAGCTCATGCCTACCCTGTCTCTCTGAGTACAAATTACAACTAGATGTATCAAAGTACCACCGGAGGTACACATACCGTAGTTTGAGAACCACTTTTCTACAGCAGTACAGTCAACCTGTAGGGTGTTTTGCACACTGCAGGCTGTCCCTGGTGTCTGGTGATATTTTATATGGTTTACATTTAAGAAGATATTACGCTGACTGGTTTTCGCAGTACCCCATAACTGCAGGCACTGCAAAAATGCACATCTCTAGTATCAGGGACCTATAGAACACAAAAGAATTATATTTTTCATAAAATGTACCTGGGGATGCACTGTAAATTTCAC